CACACACACACACACACACAAGCACTCACAGCCTTGAGGGGATCTGTGATGCATATAATATGACAAAATGACAATCTAGGGAACATTGACAGCTTTAGTCAATAGGTTAGGAAGGTACAAATGGAGAGGGGATAGATACATGCATTATACATGCATATATTTATATTTCCTTTTATATGTGTGTGTATGCATTAGTCACACCTTACATACACAAGTGTTGTTTTGTGCTCAGTTACGTACACTTAAGTATGAGAATCCTTGTGTGCATCCGCTTGTGATGAGTAGGTATTGATTGAGGAGCAGGTAATGAATGCAGAGTGATTATTGATCTCTCTGTCTGCACTGTGTTTATGAACTGCATTCAGACTGTATTTACTGGCATGTTAGGAGGCTGGAATATAACCACAGCAGTATATCATCACCAAGAGACCTAAATGTTGCTGACGTATTTCTTTCCATTAACATGTGTTACCATGATAAAACTGTAATCACAGAAATATTACCCAAGAGGGGATTGTTTGCTGTGATTATGGCACAGTGATGCAGCTGGTATCAGATATAGCTGAGAGGTTTATGTGATAGGCATGGATGGAACGATATCTACCAGGATTTTAATTTTAATGTGTTTTATTTATGTATTTACAGAGAGACACCAAAGGCCAGTTCCTGTTGGACCATGTGTGTAACCACTACAACCTACTTGAGAAAGACTACTTTGGTATTCGATATGTGGACCCAGAGAAACAGAGGGTAACTATCCCACTCACATGCACAACAACCAAAAGCAAGCTTACAACTATTTCTGTCAATCAATTAATCTAGTTATTTAGTCTACAAAATGTGTATAAAAAACTGAAAATGCCATTTCCAATTTTAAATGTGCTTGTTTTGTCTGTCCAACAGTTCAAACCAAAAGATAGTTTAAAATGATATAAAAAGAGAAAGAGTAAAGCTAAAATCAGCAATTGACCTATAAGCCTTGGTCAGCTGTCTCCTTTCCTGTACTTAGATATGCTATGTGCTATGCTCAATTATGTTGACTAAATTTTGAAGATGGTTAAAAGATAAAACCAACATAGGCTATATCTTAAGACAAAGACAAATCTTAAGTTAGGAGAGAACATGCAAACTCCACACAGAAAGGTCCTGCGGCAGCCCAGATTTAGACCCAGGACCTTCCTGCTCTGAGGACAGACAGTGTTAACAGTGCTAACAGACAGTGCTAACCAGTGAGCTCATACAAATTTTACCACATCAAAAGTTAGCAGAATTAAAACAACAACAAAATAAAATTAAACAAAATAAAGAAACTGACGATCACACGTACTTACAGTAAACAGCTCCTCTGAGTCAGCATGGCTAAAATGGTATTGTTGGATAATAATCAAGAGGCAGTCGGTACATTTTATTACAAGTTCAAGTGACAAATAATAACAAGAACAAGTCTCCATATTTCAAACATCCCACACACAGAAGAGACCAGATGCTTTGTCTCAACAGAAACTCAGTCTGGCTCTAGCTGCATTTAAAATGCAAAATGAGAAAGGAAAGGAAACAAGCAAATATTAGCGAGATATGTTACAGCATAAAAGGCACAGCACAAAAGAGTGAGGTAAATAAAACTCTATAAGAGAATAAAGATTACAAACTGCAGTTTAAAACACTGCAAAGTTGTTGAAGTAACTAGTGTAGCAAGTGTTTTTATGTAATTGGATGGGTGCAGCCAATTTATGTTGTAATAGATTTGGAAAAAATGTCCAAATGTGCCAAAGGGATAGAGGGCCAATAGGCAGCTTTCCTTCAAATGTTCAAAGGTCACCACTTCTCCCTCATAAGCACCACTGAGATGCCCCTGATCAAGGCCCTTAACCCCCAACTGTTCCAGTAGAGTTGCTCAGTGGCCCAAAGGTCAGACTGTGGTACCGCCAATACAGCTTTACTCTTAATGAAACTTCATTGAATAAAAAAGTGTCTTATTTGTTCAGCTTTTGCTCATTTTAAGAACATTGTAAACTGTAATATAAATACAAATGTCAAGTTCATCCAGCAGGGTCAGAGCAGTCAGTTTAGAGAGTATATTGATCTTCTAATGACCAAAACTAGAAATACATCCAATGACGCATTTAAATGCATGTAATTTTCTGATATGATATTTGTCTTTGATGCACTGAAATTGCCTCACATTGCTGAGGTTAAGCATTGTGTCATTCAGTTATTCGTCAAGAACATAATGAGATTTTTGATTTGGAAAAACTTGTGTTGTTGGATCTCAGTGAAATGGTGATACATACTCCTTAAACTGATCTGCTCTAGAGGTCGGTGTCTTTATTTTAGGATAACATTTGTCTTTTTTCCTCTTTCTCTCTCTCTTTCTTTCTCTCTGTGTCTCTCTCTCTCTATCTGTGTCTCTCAGCACTGGCTGGAGCCCAATAAGCCCGTGGTGAGGCAGATGAAGTGTAAGTGTCACTACTGATCCCCCTGGTTTTCTGTGCGTTTTGCACTCGTGCGTACACATTCCTGTGTGTACATTTGTGTGTGCATGTGTTTGTTAGTGCCTCGCATGCAGGCCTACATTTGTCTCCCAAGAGACACTCCAGTGTGAGGGGGTCAAGCTCTACTGCAAACGGACAGCACCGCAGGGACTCAGACAGAGTCACTCACGACAGCACACACTCACATGTGTTAAAGCCAGAGGATATTCCAAAAGTCCCAAAAAATAAAATCTGATGATCAGCATGAAACCTCTTGCAGGGAAAATTCATTATGTATGGAAAAAAAAAAAAAAGTCACAAAAAAAATCACTACCAGCGTCTATATACCCAGGGCACAATGCTCACATTACCATTTGCCATGAGTAGTGACAGAGCCAGACAATGTCGGACAGCATCTTTTTCTCAGAAACACCACAGGGAGACAAAGAGAGACACAATAAAGACAGACAAAGTGACAAGAGCAGGGTTTCTCAGACACACAACAAACTGCCAGAGGGACAAGTGGCCCAAAGAGGAAATAAAATAACAAAATAAAACACACAGATGTGGCAAGGGATAATAAGACAGATAACTCAATTGTCAAAAGAAGTAAGGAGGTTGCCTGTTTACTTTTAAAGGCTCCTGACTCTTCTTCAGTGCTTCATTTTAAGTAGGTGGTGGATGTCACGCAGGTTGGCGTTTATGTCGGTTCGTTTGAGTTGAGTTGTAAATGCTGACTAAAACTAAACATAAAGCTATTTCAGGGAGAAAAGACAAACTCTGTCTGTTGACCGCTGAATTCTCTCTTAATGTTTACCTCTAAAAGACTTTTTCATGTTCTGCAACCAATCAATAGCAGTGAAGAAGAAGATGTACTCAGACCTTTTACTTACATAAATACTCTGTTAGAAGTAAAAGTCCTGTATTCAGAATCTCACTTAAGTAAAAGTATATAAGTATTAGCGTGAAAATATACTTAAAGTACAATAATAAAAGTACACATTGTGCATAATGGCCAATTTCAGAATCATATGAAATTTAAGGATAATAATTATTGATACATTGATGTGTACATAACTTTAATGTTGCAGCTGGAAAAGGTGGAGCTAATTTCAGCTTCATTATACACTGAAGTAACAGTATAAATTACCATAATATGAAGCTTTTTGTTGATTCTGGCGGCCCCTGTGTAATGAAACATTATGGCAATGCATTGACATATCGGTGTGTTAAATCCCATTGTGAGTTATTGTGATTTATTATTTTAATCAAATTTTGCTTTGTCAGCCACCTTTTATACGAGGTGGTTGTTTGGAACAAAATCAAGAAGCAAACATTTTACTTGGAAACTAATGAACTTATCCATCTCCTCTACATCTGCTTTCCAATTTTTACATTTCTGTCTCGCCTTTAATCTTTCATTCTAATAAACTGTTGCCAAATCCTGATGTTGTTGATTTTATATAGTTAGCTGTAGTTAAACATTATTCTATCAAACGTCTAATAAAAGTAATACTTTGCTTTTCGTCTACCTGTGAGATCAGCAAAAACGTGTCTGTGTCTGAAGTTCGGCCCCCCCTTTTAATGACTGTCCTGTTCTTTCTGTACCGCTATAAATTAATAAAGGAGCTATTAGCGGTGCATTTTGCTTCATCAGAACATGTGCGAGAGGACAGGAGGAGATGAGTGAAAATGAGAGATGGAGGAAGAGAGAGAGAGGGAAAAAGAGTGATTAAGAGGAAATGTGTCGGGGGGAGGTGGGGCTAATGCTGAAGGGACAGAGAGGAGACAGTGATAGATCATGTAGCTAAAGAAAGAAGTCAGATTCAGTGAGAAAAGATGGAGAAAAGAGGAGATTGGTGAGACAGTTTGAGATGAGAGACGCTGACAGAGAGTGAAAGAAAGAAAAAGAGATGAGAGAGAGGGATGGAGGACGAGTGTTGAATAGATCTGAGTCGTACTGACACATCAGTTCTCCCCATGGCAGGATTTACTCTCAAATTAGGATGTGTTTTATTTTCTCTTTGTGCGTCCCAGCTTATGTGCATACGCGTCACATTTTATATGAGTGTGTGCACATACTATTGTGCAATTCACTTTCTCTGAAATCTTTGAAAAAAATAAAAAAAAGCATCTTGGTCCCTTAAGCCTGAGCAAAAAAAAAAAAAGCAGCTTGAATTCTTTGGGAGCGAGTGGGAGGATTGCGTCTTTCATATTGCTCAGCATGTATTATGTAGATGTGTGCTGTTTTTCATAGCTGGATAATACCGCAGAGGATCCCGCCATTAAAGACAGAGTGGTGAGGGCACTCTGTAAAGATTTCTGCTCCCATGTTAGATGATACTCACTTTCTTCCGCCTCCTCTGCTGCGTCCTTTGTTTCTTCTCTGTCTCTTTGGTTTAAGTTTATGCTTGATGCTCCACATCAGAATAATTTCCTACATCAAATGATCCTTTGAAACTAATCCTTATCATAATTACACTCAAACCATATGTGTCACTGGTGGAATGTCACTAAATACTTACTTGACTTACTTGAGTGTCTTCTTCTGAAGCCACTTTGTACTTCTACTCCAAGAAAATTCAGAGTTAAATATGTGTACTTCACTACAATTATTTGGCAGCTTTAGTTGCTAGTTATTTGATAAATTAAGATTTTTGCACAGAAAACACATGAAAATATACATGTGTTCATCCTGATTATGATTGAGATTAAAGACCACATCAGATGGTGTTTTTATCACACATTTCTAAAACTATCTATGTGCCACTGAAGCATGATGGCAGGTAGCGTAAAATCCCCCAAATTCTCCAATCTAAACAACAAACTACGTCAGCGTTTTCTAATCTGATCCTCCATTTCAGTCTTCGTCAGTGCCACCTATAACTGTTAGAAACTATAGGTAAAGATCTGTGAATTCATAATTGGATTATAATAGTTTCTACTGATTCCTCTGAGGTTTCTACGCTATATATTGTCACATAATGCAAATGTGCTAACTTCAATGAGTAAACTTTAAATGTTTGTGTGTGTGTTGATGCCATTTTGTCAGATGTTAGACCCCAGGAGGGAGTTTAAGCTATTGCTGTCGTTTGATCCGAGCCCCACAACCTATCATTGACTCTGTGTGTGTGTGTGCGTGTTACCGTTCATATTTAAATACCACTCTGAGCTCAAATTCTCTCCTACACACACAGACTCACACACACAGACTCACAC